AATTAGGAAGTATAAGGCCTCCAGTTTTGTTCTTCTTAAGATTATTTTGGCTATTCATGGTCCTTTGAGATTCTTTTTTTTTTTTTTTTTAAGATTTTATTTATTTATTCATGAGAGACACAGGCAGAGGGAGAAGCAGGTTCCATGCAGGGAGCCTGACGTGGGACTCGATCCTGGGTCTCCAGGATCACGCCCTGGGCTGAAGGCAGCACTAAACCGCTGAGCCACCTGGGCTGCCCTCCTTTGAGATTCTGTATGAATTTCAGGATGATGTTTTCTGTTTCTGGAAAAAAAAAAAGAGCATTGGGATTTTGATAGGGATTACATTGAATCTGTAAAAATTGCTTTGGGTAGTGTGGAAATTTTAGCAATAGTAAGTCTTCCAATCCATGAACATGGAAGGTCTTTCCGTTTATTTATATCATTCTTTCGGTAACATTTTGTAGTTTTGTTATTTTTTTTAAAGATTTTATTTATTCATGAAAGATGCAGGGAGAGAAGCAGAGACATAGGCAGAGGGAGAAGCAGGTTCGCTGTGAGATTCCGGGATCATGCCCTGAGCCAAAGGCAGACACTCAACCAGTGAGCCACCCAGATGCCTCCACAACTGATTTTTTTTTTTAAAGATTTTATTTATTCATGAGACACACACACACACACACACACACACACACACACACAGAGGCAGAGACATAGGCAGTGAGAGGAGCAGGCTCCATGCAGGGAGCCTGATGTGGAACTTGATCCCGGGTCTCCAGGATCACACCCTGGGCCGACAGCAGGCGCTAAACCGCTGAGCCACCCAGGGATCCCCCACAACTGATTTTTTTTTAAAGATTTTATTTATTTATTCATGATAGAGAGAGAATGAGAATGGGGCAGAGGGAGAAGCAGGCTCCATGCTGGGAGCCTGACGTGGGACTCGATCCTGGGACTCCAGGAATCACGCCTTGGGCCAAAGGCAGGCACTGAACCACTGAGCCACCCAAGGATCCCCCTCCACAACTGATTTTTAAGTGTTGATTTGTATCCTGCAACTTTGCCAGATTTATTAGTTCTAACAGGTTTTCTTTGTGGAGTCTTTAGTGTTTTCTACATATAAGAAAGAGTATGTTATCATCAAACAGGTAATTTTACTTCTTCCTTTCTAATTTAGATGCCTTTCCTTCTTCCTTCCTTCCTTCCTTCCTTCCTTCCTTCCTTCCTTCCTTCCTTCCTTCCTTCCTTCCTTCCCTAATTACTCTGGCTAGGACTTTCAGTATTGTGTTGAATCAGAGTGGTGAGAGTGGGCATCCTTGTCTTGTTACTGATCCTAGAGGGAAAACTCAGTTTTCCACTATTGTGTATGGTGTTAGCTGGGGGCTTTCCACACATGATCTCATTTGTACTTTTTAAAAACATGTAAATGCCATCATTTAGTATATTTTTATCCCTGAGCATGATTAAACTAGAGAATAGTGTGTTAAATTTTAGAGAAATAATGAGCCAAATAGACAATTCATTAAAATTAAGTTATACAGTGCACTTGGATCAAAAAGCCATTATTTATTTCCTGGGAAGATATATGGAGAATTTGCTCGGTTTCTAATGCACTGCAGTCTGATTTTTACCCAAACTTCTTGGCTTTCTTGAAGATAACTAGTAACCACCAAATTGCAAAACCAGTGATCTTTTCTTAACTCATTTTTAATGTAGCATTTGGCACTCCTGATCAAACTTTGTTTCCTCACTCAATTTTCTTATCTTTGTGGTTCTCCTACCACTTTGTTCATTTGGTCATCATAATTCCTCTTCCTCCTCTTTTGTAAATGTCTGTATCCCCTGAGATTCTGTTTTTTGATCTCATCTCTTTTCTCAATTTATATTTTCTGTCAGTGATCTCATTGACCATCATGGCTTCAGTCATCATCACCATACAGTTGACTCACAAATCTGCCTCTCCTCTTAGATTACGGTCCCACTTCTTTGTTTGTCTTTGGACACCTCCACCTAAATATCTTACCAACCTTGAGATTGAAGATGCTCCTAATTGAAGACTTTATCTTTCCTTCTCCCTTGTTTTTGTCTCCATCCTATGACTATTCCCTAAACTTGATTGGTGTGATGTTTTGCCATTCCTTTGCTCATGCCATTAAGGAAATGTCCTTTCCTGTCTTTTGTAATACTTTTCTTTTTTTTTTTTTTAAACTTTTTTTTTTTTTAATTTTTATTTATGATAGTCACATAGGGAGAGAGAGGCAGAGACATAGGCAGAGGGAGAAGCAGGCTCCATGCACCAGGGGCCCGACGTGGGATTTGATCCGGGGTCTCCAGGATCATGCCCTGGGCTAAAGGCAGGCGCCAAACCGCTGCGCCACCCAGGGATCCCTTGTAATACTTTTCTTTGCACTCTTCAATATACTTCAAGGTCTTGAATACCATCTTTTTGCAAAATACTCATCTGGGCAGCAGATGATCTGCTCTCATTCTCTGCTCTAAAACCCTTCAATTAGGGGTTTCTTATAGTCTGTTTCTTAAAATTATAAAAGCTATTTGTAATTTGATCTGTGTTTGCTTTTCTAGCCATCAGTCTAGCCACTTTGCCTCAGGAACCCTATAATTCATCATATAACCTATATAGTATCACTTCTTGTTCCTCAGGGTAAGGCTATATGCTTCTGTGTACATGTCATTTCCCCAAAGTGTTTTTTAGGGGGCAGGTGGATAGAATTGATGGCCTGTGAAACTAGTGAAGATGTCCATCACGTAGATATCCTCCATCTACTGAGTTCTGTAAGCAGTTTAGCATAGTGGAAAGAGATAGCATTTGAACTTTGATTTAAACTCTAGTTTTGGTATTTACCAGCCACATGAACTTGGTATTCAGTTTTTCTGAACTTCTGTTTCCTGATATTTACAAGCCATGTGAAGTTTAAGTTTTCAATTTTTCTGAACTTCTATTTCCTGATCTGTAAAATAGGGGCAATATTTGGCCTTACAAGGCTAATATGAAGTTTAAGTAAGAAACTGCATATAAAATGCCAAGCGTATGCTAAAAGTCCTCATAAATGATGTTAAAGAAAAAAGAGAAAAGAAAAAAGAAACTGCAGCAGCGCTCGCTGTTTTCCCTTCGTGGGATCAATTGTGTATGATTGGAGTGTGGGAAGGTGTGCCAGACTGAAACAGGGTACTGAAGGCAGAGCACAGAGGTTATCTACATACTCATGGGGAACTGGTGTGCCAACCACAAATTCTAGTTAGAGATCAAGAGATATTTCTCCCTGCTGCCAGGACACACAACACTTGATATCTTCAAAAAGGAAGGCTTTGTTCATGGTGTCCTGCCACCCACTCTGCCTTCTCCACTACATCTTCCTTATTGCCCCAGAATATGGCTTTTACAATGCAGGTTATGAAGGGTGCCTGGGTGGCCTAGTTGGTTAAGCATCTGATTCTTGATTTCAGTTCTGGTCATGATTAGGTCCTGGCATCAAGATAGTACAACTTCTTTATCCATTCATCTATCGATGGACACTTAGGTTGTTTTCATGTCTTAGCTATTATAAATAATACTGCTAGGAACATGAGGGTGCAGATATTTTCTTGAGTTAGTGTTTTTGTTACCTTTGGTATATTCCCAAAAGTGGAATTGCTGGGTCATATGGCAGTTTTTATTTTAGTTTTTTGAGGATCCTCCATATTGTTTTCCATAGGGACTATAGACCGTTTGACTTTTAATGATCCTTTAGGATTCTACTCTGTCATATCCCTTTTTCTGCAGATCTTCCTCCAGTTTTTTTTTTTTTAAAGATTTTTTATTTTATTTATTCATGAGAGAGACACACACACACAATGAGAGAGAGAGAGAGAGAGAGAGAGAGAGAGGCAGAGACACAGGCAGAGGGAGAAGCAGGCTCCATGCAGAGAGCCCGACATGGGACTGGATCCCAGGTCTCCAGGATCACGCCCTGGGCTGAAGGCAGCGCTAAACCGCTGAGACACCCGGGCTGCCCCCTCCAGTTCTTAAGATTAGATTAACTCCTCAGTATTCCCACAGAACCCTTTGCTTATCTCTATTATAATGCTTATCACACTATATTATAATTGTCTTGGCATTCCTTGGAGACATAGGCTAGTATTATATTAAGAATCTTTGTATTATCCCTGGCAGATAATAATTACTATCTAAATTTTATCTGTTGAGTGAAAAACTGTTGAATTATACATGGTATTATATTAGAACTTGTCTACTGAATATCTTTTTTCCCTAATAAACTGAGTATTTATTCTGTGAGCAGAGACCAACTTCTTCATTGTTATATCCTTAATTTGTAGCATAGTACTTGGCTCATAGTAGAGGCTGAGGAAATGTTGAATGTATGATTGAATGACCGTATGGCAGGGCTGTCTTTTTAGAATTTCAGTTAAGGTTTTTTTCCAAAAGAAATATCATCTTTGACTATATAAGTAAAGATGAAATATCTGCATGTGGTTCATACTCTGTAATTGACATTCTCCACTCATCTGTACCAGGATCGGTAGGGTTATTTAGAAGAGAATGTGTGCACGTGAAAAAATAACTACCCAGTATTTTATGTGCCAAGCGAGTGATTGGGACAGATAGATACTGCTTTAGTGTCAGGCTAAATATAACATTCTTGGGGACACCTGGGTGGCTCAGTGGTTGAGTGTCTGCCTTCTGCTCAGGGTGTGATCCTGGAATCCTGGGATTGAGTCTCACATTGAGCTTCCTGCGTGGAGCCTGCTTCTCCCTCTGCCTGTATCTCTGCCTCTCTCTCGAAAAAAAAAATAAATAAAATCTTAAAAAAAACACAACATTCTTAATTGGGCTTTCAAAGTGTGGTATACAACCAAATACTTAGAAAATGGTTATTAGTTAATTGGATTGGTTATGATGGAAAGCTGTATCTGTTTTACTTGGCTTATAACCTGCTTATTTTGGAATATTTCCTTGTTCATTAGAATTTTTTCACTGAAATTTTAACTCATTATTTTTTTAGGTCCAAGACAACTTTGACAAGATTGAATTCAATAGGATGTGTTGGACCCTCTGTGTCAAAAAAAACCTCACCAAGAGTCCCCTGCTCATTACAGAAGACGATGCATTTAAAGTATGGGTTATTTTCAACTTTTTGTCTGAGGACAAGTATCCATTAATTATTGTGCCAGAAGAGGTAAGATGTAGCTCTGGGAAGTTCTTACATGGCCATCATAGCATTAATAGATCTAGCTTTAGAGTATTATGTTAATTCAGTATAGATATAGAGGGAGATCTGGGACTAGTGTTTTTGGATCAGAGGCAAAATAGCCTGAATCCAGAAGTCCAAAACTCAGTATATTGGGGTCATGTACTATCCCTGGAGATTTGCAGACAGGGTGGGACTTTTCCTCTCCGAAGTACTATAATTATAGATGAATCTGTCCTCATATCCAGAGTCTTTATTCCATACAAGTCACAACATAATTTCTGTCTACTTACATAGTAGGAAAACCAGTGTGGCGTTTTAGGAAAACAGGGCAAAATTGGCTGAATGATGCTGTATGGGAAACATAGGATCCACAGTGTTCTCAAGTCTGTTTCATGTGAGGAAAATACTATCCTTGTTTCAAAGTCCAGGATCATGACTTTTTATTGTATTTTCCAAAGTAAATGAAAACAGGACATTTTCTTATTCTGTTCTGACTTATTTTCCTTGAGCTTCCACAGGGAAAAAAAAGACAAGAGTAAGGTTTATTTCTTTTCTTTTCTTTTCTTTTCTTTTCTTTTCTTTTCTTTTCTTTTCTTTTCTTTTTTTTTTTTTTTTTTTTTAAGATTTTATTTTTTTATTCATGAGAGACACAGAGAAAAAGAGAGAGAGGCGCCGAGGCAGAGGGAGAAGCAGACTCCATGCAGGGAGCCCAATGCGGGACTCCATCCTGGGACTCCAGGATCATGCCCTGGGCCGAAGCCAGGCTCTAAACCACTGAGCCACCCAGGGATCCCAAGAGTAAGGTTTCTATGCTTACTGCCTTAAAAAATTATATATGTATAAAATTAATCATGCTTATTATAATAGTAAATGTAGAAAAGACTAATTCTCAGAATTACAATTAGGTATAGAGTTCCCCTTAAAAAAAGTCTGTTCTTAACTTTTAACAAATTATTTCACCTCTTGAGTTTTAATTTACTCGTCTATAAAATAGGGCTTATAACAGTGCTTAAGGGTTAGGAGGTTCTGCATTTAAAGGACCTAGCTCGGGGATCCATGGGTGGCTCAGCAGTTTAGCACTGCCTTCAGCCCCAGGGTGTGATCCTGGAGTCCCGGGATCGAGTTCCACATTGGGCTCCCTGCATGGAGCCTGCTTCTCCCTCTGCCTGTGTCTCTGCCTCTCTCTCTCTCTCTCTCTCTCTCTCTCTCTGTGTGTGTGTGTGTCTCATGAATAAATAAATAAAATCTTAAAAAAAAAAAAAGACCTAGCTCAGTACCTGGTATGTAATATATACTCAGTAAATGTGTCAACTCCTGTGACTACTGTTACTGCATTTTTGCACACTGGTCTGCTTATTTCCTTAGGGCAGATTTCCAACAGTGGAATTCTGAGTCCTAAAAAACACATTTTCAAAGCATTGGAGGACAAGACAGACTTGCCTGTCACAAAGGCTGTACCAGTTTATACACCTACCAGTAATGATTGAAGAGAGCCCATTATTACCTATCCTGTCAATACAGAGTCTAATCTGTGATTTCTGTGATTCATACTTATGTTAGGAAAATCTGTTTGTGCACACTGCAATATTTTATTTAAAGTCAGCAAGCATTTATTGACTGCCAACAATAAGCAAGGCGCCAAGAGGAATGCAGAGCGAAAAAGATTATTTCCTGCCTTCAAGGAATTTGAAGTCTGCTCAAGTAAAGAAATTTAAGTGTGATTCAAAGCAAAATAGATTACCTGTTATTAGAGAGGTGCAAAGGCCATGCAAATACAGAGAAGGGAGAGATTTATTCCAGCTTGGGGGAAGTAAGGAAGGAAGGTTTTGTAAGAGGCAATGTAATGTAATGGGTAAAAGAGTCTTTAACTTTTTCCATAAAGGGCCAGACAATAAATATTTAAGGTTTTGTGGCCCTTATGGGCCATACTGTCTCTATTGTAGCTACTTAAATCTGCCGTTATAGTATGAAAGCATTAGACAGTATGTTGCTGTGCTTCAATAACATGGATTTTGAAATGTTAATTTTATATAATATTCATGGTCATGAAATATTCTTTTTTTTTTTTAAGATTTTATTTATTTATTCATGAGAGACACACAGAGAGAGAGGCAGAGACACAGGGAGAGGTAGAAGCAGGCTCCATGCAGGGAGCCTGACGTGGGACTCGATCCCAGGTCTCCAGATCAGGCCCTGGACTGAAAGCGGCACTAAACCGCTGAGCCACCCAGGCTACCCAGAAATATTCTTTATTTCCCCTCCCTACCACTTAAAAATACAGAAACTGATCTTAGGTCATGGATAGATAGATAGATAGACAGACAGACAGACATGCCATGAGTCAGATTTGGCTGATAGACTAGAATTGACTTGTGACAGTCATTTACTGTTCCCTGGTTAAGAGCAGGAGTCTGCATTCATATTACCTGGATTTGAATACTAGCTGTGTGACTTTGGATGATATATGTCATTTGTTTTTGCTGCAGTTTCTTTAACTATAAAATAGGGCTAATGCTAGTATCTGCCTCCTGCTGTTCTTGTGAAGATCAGACAAGGAGAATGCCTGGCCCCTGGAAAGTGCTCATTAAATGTTAGCTTTTATGTTTATGGGGAAAGTAGCACTTGTTCTGGGCCTTAAAAAGATAGGAAGAATTTTGACTAATGGAGAATTCTGGATGGAAGAAACAGTGGGAAAGGTTCTATGGATCAGGAAAGCAAAGGGCATGTTCTAAGGTGAGTGAGGTAGGTATTCCGCTTGTCTAAATAGTTAGGATGCTTACTTAGATACAGCTGGATGATGGGGTGCCTTGGTGGCTCAATTAAGCTTCTGCCTTTGGCTTGGGGTCCTGGATTGAGCCCCATATCAGGCTTCTTGCTCAGCGGGGAGTCTGCTTCTCCCTCTCCCTCTCCCTCTTCCTGCTACTCCCCCTGCTTGTGCTTTCTCCCTCCCTCTCTCTCTCTGTCAAATAAATAAAATAAAATCTTAAAGAAAAGAAACAGCTGGATGGGCTAATTTAAACCAAAAAGGATATGGGGGAGCTCACAGAATTGCCATGATGACTGAGAAACCAGGTTTGAAAGCTATCAGTCTGGAACTATTACAAGGAAAATGCTGCTGCCACCAGAGAGTAGGGATTATACTTGTGCTGTGGAACACCTCTGGCCCTGCATGCTTGGTACAGCCCAGGACTCCAGTATTCCTGCAGCTGTTCTTGCTACTAGAGAGAATTCTTTGTGCCTGCTTTCCAATTCACAGTGAAAGGATAACACATCTAATTGGTATGGCCTATGTCAGGTGCCATGAGGTAGCTGCAAAGGAGGCCTGTAAAGGATCTATTTGCATTTTTAGCTTCTTTGTTGGGAGGTAGGGAATTGCCTAGACATGAGAAGGGGATTAGATGGTAGGTAGTCAAAAAGAATAACACATGCCCTTTCTAACTGGAACATGATGGCTGTGAAGAAGAGTAGTAGTAGATGAGGCTAGAGTTTTGACTTTATCTTGTAGGCAGTAGGGAGCTATGAACTACTGATGATTTTTAAGCAAGAGACTGACAAGTATAAATAGATGAAATATGGAGAGATGGGAGATGGAAAGTTGAGAGAAGGTAAGTGGCATTTGAGGACTGAAGTATAGTAATGTCAGTGAGAATGGAAAAGAAGATCAGATGTGGGCAGCTCGGGTGGCTCAGCAGTATAGCGCCGCCTTCAGCCCAAGGCGTGATCCTGGAGACCCAGGATCGAGTCCCACATTGGGCTCTCTGCATGGAGCCTGCTTCTCCCTCTGCCTGTGTCTCTGCCTCTCTCTCTCTCTCTCTCTCTCTCTCTCTGTATGTCTCTCATGAATAAATAAAATCTTAAAAAAAATTTAAAAAAAAGAAAGGGTGGTCAGATGTGACCAATCCAGAGGTGACAGGACTAAGTTCATAATGCCTGGCTGGGTAGGACTATGGACACTTTTCAGGCTTGGGCAATCAGGAGATAATATAGTGGAGTTGTCTAAATCATGATTAAAACCATGCTACTTGGTTTAAATTCTGACTCTTTTTTAAGCCATGTGACCTTGAAGAGATTGCTTAATCTCTTTGGGTTCCCCTATCTGTAAAGTGGGGATAACTGCTTCATTCATTGGACTCTTGTGAGGACTTAGTTGATGATGTGAAGCATTTAAATGTAACATCTGGCCCTATGTTAAGTGCTCACTAAATGTGTCTGTGTGTGTGTGTTTATTAATGAATGACTAGATGATGAATAAGTTGGGGATATGGTGTCTGATGGTGGATTGGGTATATTGCTATTTGAGGTGGAACATACTTGTGGAGCAGTCCTGTTTTCAACTGGAAGTGCATAGCCAGAGCTAGTGAGAGGCCAAGACTGGAGACAGAGATGAGGAAGCCATGGAAGTAGATTAGATCAGAGAGGAAGAAACTGTTGTGGGAGAAGTGAGGGCTGAGGATGGAACCTTGGGACTGTTTCTGTAGCAGGAAGAGGAAGTAGATTTGGTACAGGAAGCTGAATTGAATAGTCTATAAGGTAGGAGGAGAACTGAGGAGTGTTGAGTCATGGGGAAAGAAAAAGTTCTAAGAAATGGGAAAGTAGTTACTTGGATTAGATGTTACAGGGTGATGAGGGAGATGCCCTTGGATTTACCAGTTAGGTGGTCATTGGTAATCACATAGAATGCAATTTTACTCTAGTGATGGGAACAGTTTCTTAGTGCTTAGTAACAATAATGATGAGATAATGTGTGTATGTTAAAAGGGAAATAAAGAATAAAATGTGCTATAGGAAAAAAAAGTGGTACAGAGTTGTTCACCAAAATTGTCTAGCTCAATACAGAGACACATTGAAGGGAATGGAATATTGATAGTGTTGAAAAAGATGTACTGGTGGTATTTTAAAAACCTAGCTGTTGCTTGGAAGAATTATGCTAATAAAACTTTCAGTATTGTCTCTTAAGACATGTAATTATGCTGTGTTCTAAATTT